CCTTCTACTGAGTTGTTAAAGGCATACTCTTTAAAGTAAAGTATTGTACACTTAATGCCTTCTACTGAGTTGTTAAAGGCATACTCTTTAAAGTAAAGTATTGTACACTTAATGCCTTCTACTGAGTTGTTAAAGGCATACTCTTTAAAGTAAAGTATTGTACACTTAATGCCTTCTACTGAGTTGTTAAAGGCATACTCTTTAAAGTAAAGTATTGTACACTTAATGCCTTCTACTGAGTTGTTAAAGGCATACTCTTTAAAGTAAAGTATTGTACACTTAATGCCTTCTACTGAGTTGTTAAAGGCATACTCTTTAAAGTAAAGTATTGTACACTTAATGCCTTCTACTGAGTTGTTAAAGGCATACTCTTTAAAGTAAAGTATTGTACACTTAATGCCTTCTACTGAGTTGTTAAAGGTATACTCTTTAAAGTAAAGTATTGTACACTTAATGCCTTCTACTGAGTTGTTAAAGGCATACTCTTTAAAGTAAAGTATTGTACACTTAATGCCTTCTACTGAGGTGTTAAAGGCATACTCTTTAAAGTAAAGTATTGTACACTTAATGCCTTCTACTGAGTTGTTAAAGGCATACTCTTTAAAGTAAAGTATTGTACACTTAATGCCTTCTACTGAGTTGTTAAAGGCATACTCTTTAAAGTAAAGTATTGTACACTTAATGCCTTCTACTGAGTTGTTAAAGGCATACTCTTTAAAGTAAAGTATTGTACACTTAATGCCTTCTACTGAGTTGTTAAAGGGTATACTCTTTAAAGTAAAGTATTGTACACTTAATGCCTTCTACTGAGTTGTTAAAGGCATACTCTTTAAAGTAAAGTATTGTACACTTAATGCCTTCTACTGAGTTGTTAAAGGCATACTCTGTAAAGTAAAGTATTGTACACTTAATGCCTTCTGCTGAGTTGTTAAAGGCATACTCTTTAAAGTAAAGTATTGTACACTTAATGCCTTCTACTGAGTTGTTAAAGGCATACTCTTTAAAGTAAAGTATTGTACACTTAATGCCTTCTACTGAGTTGTTAAAGGCATACTCTTTAAAGTAAAGTATTGTACACTTAATGCCTTCTACTGAGTTGTTAAAGGTATACCTTTTAAAGTAAAGTATTGTACACTTAATGCCTTCTACTGAGTTGTTAAAGGTATACTCTTTAAAGTAAAGTATTGTACACTTAATGCCTTCTACTGAGTTGTTAAAGGCATACTCTTTAAAGTAAAGTATTGTACACTTAATGCCTTCTACTGAGTTGTTAAAGGTATACTCTTTAAAGTAAAGTATTGTACACTTAATGCCTTCTACTGAGTTGTTAAAGGTATACTCTTTAAAGTAAAGTATTGTACACTTAATGCCTTCTACTGAGTTGTTAAAGGCATACTCTTTAAAGTAAAGTATTGTACACTTAATGCCTTCTACTGAGTTGTTAAAGGTATACTCTTTAAAGTAAAGTATTGTACACTTTAATGCCTTCTACTGAGTTGTTAAAGGCATACCTTTAAAGTAAAGTATTGTACACTTAATGCCTTCTACTGTGTTGTTAAAGGCATACTCTGTAAAGTAAAGTATTGTACACCCTTAATGCCTTCTACTGAGTTGTTAAAGGCATACTCTTTAAAGTAAAGCATTGTACACTTAATGCCTTCTACTGAGTTGTTAAAGGCATACTCTGTAAAGTAAAGTATTGTACACTTAATGCCTTCTACTGAGTTGTTAAAGGCATACTCTTTAAAGTAAAGTATTGTACACTTAATGCCTTCTACTGAGTTGTTAAAGGTATACTCTTTAAAGTAAAGTATTGTACACTTAATGCCTTCTACTGAGTTGTTAAAGGCATACTCTTTAAAGTAAAGTATTGTACACTTAATGCCTTCTACTGAGTTGTTAAAGGCATACTCTTTAAAGTAAAGTATTGTACACTTAATGCCTTCTACTGTGTTGTTAAAGGCATACTCTGTAAAGTAAAGTATTGTACACTTAATGCCTTCTACTGAGTTGTTAAAGGCATACTCTTTAAAGTAAAGTATTGTACACTTAATGCCTTCTACTGAGTTGTTAAAGGCATACTCTGTAAAGTAAAGTATTGTACACTTAATGCCTTCTACTGAGTTGTTAAAGGCATACTCTTTAAAGTAAAGTATTGTACACTTAATGCCTTCTACTGAGTTGTTAAAGGTATACTCTTTAAAAGTAAAGTATTGTACACTTAATGCCTTCTACTGAGTTGTTAAAGGCATACTCTTTAAAGTAAAGTATTGTACACTTAATGCCTTCTACTGTGTTGTTAAAGGTATACTCTGTAAAGTAAAGTATTGTACACTTAATGCCTTCTACTGAGTTGTTAAAGGCATACTCTTTAAAGTAAAGTATTGTACACTTAATGCCTTCTACTGAGTTGTTAAAGGCATACTCTGTAAAGTAAAGTATTGTACACTTAATGCCTTCTACTGAGTTGTTAAAGGCATACTCTTTAAAGTAAAGTATTGTACACTTAATGCCTTCTACTGAGTTGTTAAAGGTATACTCTTTAAAGTAAAGTATTGTACACTTAATGCCTTCTACTGAGTTGTTAAAGGCATACTCTTTAAAGTAAAGTATTGTACACTTAATGCCTTCTACTGTGTTGTTAAAGGTATACTCTGTAAAGTAAAGTATTGTACACTTAATGCCTTCTACTGAGTTGTTAAAGGCATACTCTTTAAAGTAAAGTATTGTACACTTAATGCCTTCTACTGAGTTGTTAAAGGTATACTCTTTAAAAGTAAAGTATTGTACACTTAATGCCTTCTACTGAGTTGTTAAAGGCATACTCTTTAAAGTAAAGTATTGTACACTTAATGCCTTCTACTGTGTTGTTAAAGGCATACTCTTTAAAGTAAAGTATTGTACACTTAATGCCTTCTACTGAGTTGTTAAAGGCATACTCTTTAAAGTAAAGTATTGTACACTTAATGCCTTCTACTGAGTTGTTAAAGGTATACTCTTTAAAGTAAAGTATTGTACACTTAATGCCTTCTACTGAGTTGTTAAAGGCATACTCTTTAAAGTAAAGTATTGTACACTTAATGCCTTCTACTGAGTTGTTAAAGGCATACTCTTTAAAGTAAAGTATTGTACACTTAATGCCTTCTACTGAGTTGTTAAAGGCATACTCTGTAAAGTAAAGTATTGTACACTTAATGCCTTCTACTGAGTTGTTAAAGGCATACTCTTTAAAGTAAAGTATTGTACACTTAATGCCTTCTACTGAGTTGTTAAAGGCATACTCTTTAAAGTAAAGTATTGTACACTTAATGCCTTCTACTGAGTTGTTAAAGGCATACTCTTTAAAGTAAAGTATTGTACACTTAATGCCTTCTACTGAGTTGTTAAAGGCATACTCTGTAAAGTAAAGTATTGTACACTTAATGCCTTCTACTGAGTTGTTAAAGGCATACTCTTTAAAGTAAAGTATTGTACACTTAATGCCTTCTACTGAGTTGTTAAAGGCATACTCTTTAAAGTAAAGTTTTGTACACTTAATGCCTTCTACTGAGTTGTTAAAGGCATACTCTTTAAAGTAAAGTATTGTACACTTAATGCCTTCTACTGAGTTGTTAAAGGCATACTCCTTAAAGCACAGCATTGTACACGTTTCAATAGGTGATTATTTTTGGACCTATTAAGGCCCACTCAGCTCTGAGATTCCTGTACTTAGAGGCATACTTCTAAAATGCTCATTTGACAGTACTGGCTGCTTTCTGAAGAAATACTGTTAAAAAATCCTTTCAAATCAGGCAGTTTAATTTGTAAGCCACAAGGATATATTTCGGCCTTTACAGTGATATAACCTTGGTAAAATTATTCAACATTTGATTCACAATTATTTTTCTACATCATGAATATTGAAAAATAGACCAGAATATTATTTCATGGTTAGATAGATATGAACTAAGTGATTTTTTAAAAGAAGTTTTCCTAAAAAAAACACCCCAAACATATATTTACCTGTGTAAATTGTATTGTTTTTCCACCTGTCCATGTGCTATATTTTGTTAATTGAATTGTACTCTTGGTCATGTGGCCATAAGTACTGAAGAAAGTTCTTCTTCTTTTTCTTGCTTTCAGGTTTGTAGAGCTCTAAATGGAGCCAACACGTGGGAAATAAGTGAAACAGTGTTAACACGATATCCTTCCAACAGTTAGTAGCGTCATCAGTTTTGAAACATGTTGATATGAAACATTACTGCTGTCATTACAGAACTGTCTGCTGTTTCATAAAACATTAACATAAAAGTAGAATATATAGGGGCTATATCCATTTCCCACAGATTTTTTTTATCCAGCAACAGGTGTCAATATGATTATGATGAAGATCTTAAATATTTTACTAAAAGGTATAGGTTTCTGAATTTTCTGAAGTTTTCAGTAAAATGGTATGATTGATTCGGCATGACATCATGGTAGTTTGGTAGTTGTGTTGCATGACCTTAATAAAGTATGTCGTAATAAAGTATGATGTACAAAATTTCTGTGACTTGTACAGAACAACTACATAACTAATATTATGTGACTGTTTTGCATCCTCGTGCTGTGATGATGCAGTAATGAAAACAAACACGTATGGTAGGGCTTGTTAAAACTAATTTCTTGTCATTCATTACCATCCTGCCTCAAATGTTGTTTAATTTTTTACGCACTTTTAAGAAACATTTCATTTTTCATTCAGAGTTTGTGTTTTAACTGTATTCCAACTTTTAGCACCTCAACAACAGGGTCTGTGTAGAGGTCATGTAGTATTTTAAAATAAATTTGTTCAGGGCTCCAGATAAGGGCCGTATCAGCGTATGTACGGATAAAAGATATGCACGATACGGTAGGAAATAATTTAGAAAACGTAGCAGATACGCACCACAGCAATGGTGTACGGTCTTAGAATCATAATTACAGACGTATTTATCTGAAAAAAAGTATTGTTTTATTGTTTATTGACCTGTTTACACAAGAGTAGCAATGTTGTGGTGCATATATGAAACGAAACACAATATTACTGATAGTCCATTAGCTTCCATTCAGTACTCTAAACGTACACTTAAGGTTTTCCAGTACTCAATATTGAACAAATAAGGAGTACATACTCCTGATGTTGAAAAATTATCTGGAGCCCTGTTTGTTAGAACAAAACAACTTAAAACATACTGATGAAAACCTCCATCCTGTTTCAATCATTTAAAAAAAAAAAGAAACACACAAGAAACTATTTTTAACCCAAGTTAACTTGTCTACGTTGGCCTTTATGTAGGGGGTAACAAATATACATAAGTGGTTATAGACATTCACCAACAATTTGATGACATCTGATAGTACACTCAGTGTGAAAACGCATACCTGTCAGTTCTGTGAGATTGTGTATACAACAGACCTCACCCCTCATGCAAGTCTAATGTAATCCCATGCTTGACAGACTTTGCTGTTATTTTGTACTGGTTCAGTATGTGAGAAAGCAGTTGGAGTTTATCGGTTCAACCTTCAGCATGTTCGGTGTCACAGAATGTTGTCACCCCTGATTCGTGTTTGACAGCTCACCAGGATTTGACAGGTGATGTTTAGACATGTTGTAAACCATCTGATCACTGTCTTCTGCATGGACTTTCACGTGATGTATTTATTATCTTAAAAATAAAGGTGAGCTACATAGATTAAGGATTCCTCCCTTTCACTCCTTCAAAGGCATTTCTTACGCTCAGTGCTTGTCAACAATTCAGCAGATGATCCTGATTACGGGAATCACAATTATATTTTTAGTAAAACTTGGATCTTTTAGTCTGTAGTTTGTCAAAGTTTGGCCTAGTAATAAATATCCTGAACAGGCTTTCTTATTGGGTAAATTTTGAAATAATCTCAAATGCACTCTTCAGACTGTTGGGGATACAAGGAAACAGCTGGGTTGTCTTCCTTCCTTACTGAAATTGTGTTTTGCATGTGACCAAAAACTGTTTGTGTGGTTTTGTGGTTTCATTTGATCAAGTTATACATAACTTTAACAACATTTTAGCTTGATTACCATTAACAGTAAAGTTTAATTTCACACTATAAAGACTTTTATTAACCTGTGTTAATCTTTTACATTAAACATTATTAGACTCTTCTTACATTTTCAATAGTTAAAAAAATATTTTATGCTAAATATTATGCCCTATCAGGACCCTGATAAAAGAACACTCTCTTTGATAACTGCTGTTTTACTTATAACTCGTAAATCACACCTGAAAGGCAATATGATCCAAGTATAAAGACATTTGTGTAATAGTAATTACTCTGGCAGCATCACCGCTAAGGTTAAGGTAACCTTTAAGTGTAACCTTTGCCTTATGTGATGAGTGAGCATGGATGTCTTGGGGCTAATGCAACCTTGATGTGGCCTAGGGTCTGATAGCTGTTAGTATGCAGATTCTGTAGCCTTGTGAATCAACTACACATCTTAACACTGATTGAAACAATAGATTTGTGTTGAATCTGGCCTTCAAGTGTGACTCACATGTTACACATAGGGAACAATGTGTTACCCACGCAATCCTAGTCATCACACTAATGATGCTGCGATTTACCTGAACTTCTGTTTATAATAAGCAGTGTTAAGCCAATCTCACTCTTGGTAATATCAGTATTTACAGTCATATACTTTTTTAAAAATAATAGTGTACATGCTAGTCTCACAACACGTGTTTACAGATTTATAGGCTAGATAGATATAGCATATCTTGGTCAATATGTCAGTGCCCACAGACCCACTTTCTAAAGTGATATCAGGTTTTAATTATAATTACTGGTAATATATGGACAAAATTTGAAAGTTTAAAAGTAAATTACAAAAATAATTCTAATAAAACACATGATAATATTTAGATGTTTTCACTCAGGTTTTATTTTGTCTGTAGAAAGAATTAAAAAAAATTCCTGACCATTGTTTTTAAATAATTTCCTCAACTGAATGACACAAATATAATTTAAAAAGTATTTGTTAAAATTTTCTGTGTAATTTAGAACTAATCAAATCACAGTAATCACAGCTGAACTGAAAATTGTATCAGAAAGGAAATATTGGGATGCATTTGGGTGTGTTTGTCTTTTTAGGTTGATCAATATTTGTGTATGTGACATTATTTTCTCTGTGTAGATAACAGCCAGGAAGTGAAACTATCACTATGGCCAGATCAGGCACCTCTGTCTGAACGAGTTTCCAGTCCGCTTTCAGTTGGAACCTCAGACAGGGGATGGGTGATGGGGAAGTTGAATAAATACTTCATGTCAATTCTTTTAATAAAAAACATTTAAGTGACAGTATATTGATGGTTTGGGTGTTTAGATATCATGCATTCATTTCTAAGTGTGACCAGTGTTTGCCTTTAACCCTGAAAAGCTGCAGGCCCTAAGGACCTAGAACCACAAAAAGTTGTGGGTCCTGATCAGAATGTATAGGCCTATATTTTAATTAGCTGACGCCGTCGGTTCCAAATGAATTCCCGTGCTTCAAATACTCAATAACACCCGGAAATTGGCCAACACATGATGTTTATCGACATTGTAAACACAAAAGTAAACCAAAAGGTCCACACACGTTTTTGTGTCTGCACTCATTGACATAGAGTACGGGTACAGCAGTGCAATGTCATCAGCCATCCGTTTCGGCTGTCTCCCATGGTAGCATGTAGAACTGCTCATTTGTGACGTCATTCGGACTTTACGTCACAATATGATTTGAATGACGTCATCTCAGCTGACGACGTAACAACACGATGGTGTGAGCGATGTTTGTACCTGTATTAATACGCAGCGAATTTCCGGGAATCGAATGCCATTTGATCAAGTTTTTCAACCAATCAGATTAAAGAACACAGTGACTTTTGGTTTACAATATGGAAATAATGCTCTTAGTTACTTCAGTCGGCTTTGGGCCTTAATTTCGAACGCTGAGTCTGACATCACATCTTTTGTTCATTGACAGTTAAGTCCTCAAACCGAAACAGTAGAGCCATGACGAGGAGGTCGTCTACCCAATACCTACAGAATAACTGACTTCTGTTTTTATTACAGGCAAATTGAAGAGAAAACTTGTTTGTTTTTTGTATGAAGGAGTATCAAAATACTAATTAACAGCTTGATTGGATAAGAAGCCAGAGTATTTATGAGAGCCACGATTACAACAGAGATGCTGCGGTCACGTGATGCCGATCAGTTCACAGCACACGTCATCATCGCCTGATCACACATATGATAAAGTATAACCACAAGTTCCTTCACTCTCTGCCTCAGAGATGTGATACCTTTTCAATGAGCTGTAAATGTTTGCTCAAAACATGAAATGTAGCCATGATACATGTATTATATATCCTAGCCTTGCTCCGAGGCTGTACTGAATGCTAAGCTCATGGATGTATATATAGTAATTCTATCCTTTAATGAGGCAAGTCTAGATAAGGGGACAGAGGATAATTTAAGCTATCAATTATTACCTTAGAGTCTTGGGCAAGTCTGTGTATATCCCTTCCATAGCACTTGTTGCAGTTCTAGCATTTTTGTCTCAGCTGACACCATTCTTGAGAAAAACAAAACAAATAAAAACCAGAGCCTAGTCAGGTTGATGAGTCTGTCAAGGGAAGTCATGGTTTTAGCAATGAGAAGTCACTTGACGTGAAAACAGTTTTTGCCAGTGTAAGCAGCTCATTGAAAACTTAACTAATCAGCACATTTGGCTGCCAACTTTTTCGTTGTTTATATACTTTACTCATAAACAGGAGGATCTGAATGGTGCCAGCAAGCTTGTTGTTAGACAGTTTCCAATGTAGCAGCCAAATGATTGACCTTCCTTGTTAACTTACGAACAACTGCTTCTGTGTTTTACTTTAAACTGTGTATTGAATTGTAAGATTTAATTATCATTCAATTACAGAAACCAATATTTCTTGTCAAGGATTTGGTAAATTAATGTGCTTGTGCATCCAATGGGACACAGTAGTGTTTTTCTGGGTCTATTGTACACATTTCTTTGTACTGAACACACATTCCTGCATCATGTAAAGCCCTGACTAATAACTGCTGTTATTGTAGCTCTAACTGCTTCTTCTACTACTACTACTGCTACCATCACTACCATTACTACCATTACCACTGCCACAACCACTACTACACTTCTACACCACTACCATTACCACTACTAAACCACTACCACCACTACCATTACCACTACTACACCACCACTACTACACCACTACCACCACTACCACTAGTACTACACCACTACCACCACTACCATTACCACTACTACACCACCACTACCACCACTACTACACCACTACCATTACCAGTACTACACCACCACCACCACCACCACCACTACTACCACTACTACCACTACCACCACTGCCACCAGTGTTCTCCAGCCCTGCGTTAAAGTGACAGTGTTTCGGTCATGAGGGCAGTATCTCTTGTTGCCCTGGCCCCAGCCCAGGTCAAGATAGCCAGCAAATGAAGCAGATAATAGCGATACAATTACTGTAGCTGATTTAATGTCAACATGGCTAAGTGTGAAACTGTTTACACAGCTCAGTAGCTCTTTGCCAGCCAGTGATAGAACGCCATGCAACACATAGTATTGCCAGGCTGCATGTGCTCAGGCTTGCCTGTAACGAATTTCACCAGGACGCTGGTTTTGGTTATTTAGTTATGCAGATAATTATGTATATCAGAGGCTTGGGATTTACACAGAATATTTTTGTTAGGAAATATTTGAGTGAACTTTTGAACTTGATAACTACTTTGAACATAATCTTGATTGGAAAAATTAATTAACCTGTTCCCAAGAAATCAACCAGTTATAGTCTGGGTTAGGACCGAAGGAAAATTGTATTCTTTTAACTCACTGACTCACTGACTTGCTCGCTCAGCAGCCTGATCACTCACTCAACCACCGGACCACCCACTCAACCACCCACTCAACCTAACACTCACTCACCTAACCACTCAACCGCTCCCTCACACAACCACTCCCTCACACAATCACTCACTCACTCACTCAACCAACCAACCACTCACTCAACCACTCACTCACTTAACCATTCAACCGCTCCCTCACACAATCACTCCCTCACTCAACCACTCACTCACTCAACCATTCACTCAACCACTCTCTCAACCTCCCATCCCTTCAAGAATATGATTGGTATAATTAATAACAGTCCTTTTCCCCTGCAAAACCTAAAAGACAACACTAAGATGTATTGCACAAGCAAAACTATTCAGTGAAAACAATATTTTTTATATTTATTTTCCCCAGTTCCACTTTAAGAACTAGTGGGAGCAATGTACAGGTCTACTACACTTTGATTTTTGAAAACCTTGGCATGGATGTCTTCATGAAAAGATAGACCTTGGCACCACCCCAGATACCTACTCAAATTGAACACACGAGGAACATGGTAATATCTTAGGAAATAACAGCTTGCTTTCATGTATAAATTAGCATAGAGCATTTCAGATAAGAGGTTGCTAAATATAGAAATACATGTCAGCATCATAACTGAAAGAGTACTTTAAACATATTAATATTTTTACTGTTATTGAAATCTTCATCAAATTCATCCGTTGATACAGACTTATGATAAGTCCACCATTTTGATAAGCCATTGCTTGTACATACATGGCAGGAGAAGAAAAGGTGTAATGGCCAAGGCCTTTTCGACTAACAACCAGTCTCTGAAATGAACATATTTTACAGAAATAAGACAGTTCATAATAAAAAAAAAAATATATAATGAAAAGGATCCCTGAAACTTTCTTCCTTTTCAGAAACTGGACATCTAGACTTGCCACATAATCTAGGTTTGCATGGGCTTTCTTGGATATGTTTGTTTCAGGGTCTTATATGATAAACTAAATGCCTGTATGTGGTCTATGAGGTGTGTAACAGGGAATTGTTATCTGCCCTTCGCTGTTTTAGTAAAAAATTTTAAAATCTGGACACCGGTTTCCAGTAATCATGTGCACATGTGAAACTTCGTTTGCTGGATTAAAAGTTCCTAATTAGGCAAGAAGAACTACACAAAATGAAATGTCATATGTATTGATTGACTGCCCCAATATAAACAGATCAATGCGACCGTGACACAGCATGGAGCTGATCAGTAAGTCATGGACTCATTAGGGATACTGATTGACTTCTAAGAAAAGAAATGTCTGATGGTTCCCTGGCAGCATGGCTGCTCTGTGATAAGGGATGATTGGAGCCACCATTAGGATTATGTAGTAAAGCATACTGATTCATGAATCATTAAGATTTCAAGTTACTCCAGTTAATGTAACAAGATCTCATCATGACAATGATAACAAATCAGAGATATGCTTTTAAGAGTTCAGTTGACAGTGCTGCATGAAATAATCTTTTTTAGTTGAGATCGTGCAGTGAACTGCTGTACGTGCATATAATGAACTGATTAATGTAGAAAATTGTTTTTATACACGATACCATTTCTTAGAAAGTTGTCAGATGTGACAGACGTAAAATTATATTGGGATTAAATGTTCTCAGTAAAGAACAGATTCTAGTACTTTTGTTAGGTTGAGTCCCATCCTGGATTCAATCCCCCACCTTCAGAGTCAGGTACCTAATCGCCAGTACATAAAGTAAGCGATCTAATCCATTCAGTCACACTTTACTGAGAAGGCGTAATCCCAAATTTGACATATGTTATATATATAGAGGATACTAAACTCGCTTCCGTGTAATACCATTTTTATTAAACGAGTTAATGGTTTGATGCTTAATCTTTCACGAGTTTAATAAAAATGGTATTTCACGGAAGCGAGTTTAGTATTCTGTTTATTACTCTCCAACATAAACTGATAGAAACTGCCTACGAAGTGTGATGACTCTCAGCTTTCCACGAGTCAAGCAAGGTCTAATACCACTGTGCCAGAGTTATTAGCATTGTAACCATTATGACGTCATACGTCTAGCGGTATTACACTAGTGTTATACTGCCGTAAAAATATTACACTGCAGTATCTTCCACTGGCGAGTAAGAAATGTTATTATGCATGTATTGTCTCGATGAGACACATGAAATTATTCATAGAGTGGATCATCAACATGGACTTTGTGTGTACTGGTTAACAGGGAGTAGTGGGCCATGGACTCCTCAAGGGTAAAGCCTGACAAGCAGTGTGCTGCAGTTGGGAAGACTTACTACCTGGGTATCTTTGTCACATCTAGGGTTAAGGAGTGGATCAGATAAACATGTATGTTTGTAAAAGGGTGATTGCTGGCAGGTGTTGATGAAAATGATTCCTCCCCTGTCTTCAGGATAATGGCTGCTGGTTCTCACTGCTTGATATACGGAAGCGGCCTGGCTTACATTTAGGGTTACGGACACTATAATATGCAGATTCTGGCACTGCATGACACACATGACTCATGACACTGCATGACACAGGGCTTCTGACACACAGGGCTTCTGACACAGCATGACACACAGGACTTCTGACACTGCATGACACTCAGGACTTCTGACACAGCATGACACACAGGGCTTCTGACACAGCATGACACACAGGGCTTCTGACACAGCATGACACACAGGGCTTCTGACACTGCATGACACACAGGACTTCTGACACGGCATGACACACAGGGCTTCTGACACAGCATGACACACAGGGCTCTTGACACTGCATGGCACACAGGGCTTCTGACACTACATGACACAGTGCTTCTGACACTGCATGACACAGGGCTCCTGACACTGCATGACACACAGGGCTTCTGACACTGCATGACACACAGGGCTCCTGACACTGCATGACACACTGGACTTCTGACACTACATGACACAGGACTTCTGACACTGCATGACACAGAGCTTCTGACACTGCATGACACACAGTGCTTCTGACACTGCATGACACACAGGCCTTCTGACACTGCATGACACACAGGGCTTCTGACACTGCATGACACACAGGGCTTCTGACACTGCAGGACACACAGGGCTTCTGACACTGCATGACACAGGGATTCTGACACTGCAGGACTCACAGGGATTCTGACACTGCAGGACAGACTGGACTTCAAATATGTATAGGTCATTATGGCCTGCAGTAAACGTGTGTTGGTGTACTTATCACAGTAAGTTGCATCATTTCTGTGTCATTTTTTTTTTCTTCCATCGTACCCATTTGAGGGATAATGTGTTACTGAAACCAGCTTTGAGTGACCAGAATCTTACCAGACACACTTAGTGAACTAAAGTAAGTAGTCACATGTTTTACATTATGTATGAATTAATACATTTAACTGAGTCTTAAGTTCAAGTGTAAAGTATTTTCAGAATTGACTCAGCAACCCCTAAAGTCTATGGATTCTGATGGGAGCCTGGAGGCATATTATCATTATTTCCAACACAGTGTGACATATAAGAACATGAAGATACTTACTTTTGCCATTGAGTATATGTCTGACCTGATCCTCAAGGGGTTAAACCTGGCAGGTGTGTGTTAATTTCTGGGTTGCTATTCCCGCATATCCTACCAGGTGTCTGGTGGTAGACCACAGTGTGTACTATTTGGGGCTGCACAAAGTTCATCCCAAGTGGAACTGATACAGAAGCTAATGGGGAAATGTCCCTCTGAGACTTAGCCTTTGATGATGGTGTATCACTGGAACCATGTCTGTTTAGTTACTTCGTCACTGGGTGTGCTATTGGAGATACAAACACCTGGCTGAAGTTTAACACCAAGGATTTTTTTTGTTTTAATTTAAGTTCCATTTTTAAAAATTTCAAATATGTAAATGGAAGTGTGTTATCTAGAATATATTGCGTACTGATGTTCAAAATAGTATATAATTGCCTTTTTGAGTAGGATTATTAGTATACTGCTGTGTTGTGTATATATATCTTTTCAGATCAACTCAATGTGAGAGGATTCCCAGCGTGATACTGATTTTAGATGCCTACTGCTTTGTTTTGATCTATAAGCTTGTGCATGTAGCTGGCAAACTGTGTTTGATAATACGAGGAAAATCTGTCATTCGAACCCACAAACATTGGTTTCAGTCATCCCTATAGGACAGAACTCGGACCAGAATGTTATGCATTGTTAAACAACGAACACAGTTCTCCAAATGATGAATGATAGCATTAAACATGAATAACGAAAATTTGATCAATCTAAAACATTTGGAACTTATAACCCCTTTAAGTATGTTATGGGGTGGTTGGGTAGCCTAGTGGTTAAAGCATTCGCTCGTCACACGGAAGACTCTTGCTCGATTCCCCACATGGGTACAATGTGTGAAGCCCATTTCTGGTTCCCCCCCGCCGTGATATTGCTGGAATATTGCTAAAACTAACTTCACTCACTGTCATTGTTTAGTGAGGTGAGGTGAAATTGGGTTTAACGTCATACTTGAGAATATTTTACTCATATGATGACATGCATGCGTGTGTATGTGTGGGCGCGGGTGCTTGTACTAGCCCAGACTTAAGCTGGTTTTATAGTGCTAGCCCACTGAGATGCCATATTGCAGTTAAGCAAGAATACCCCACTCAGACACATTATACTGACTCCGAGCCGACCAGTCTTTGTTGTACCCATTAATGCCGAGCGCCAGGCAGGGACCAACAAGTACCATATTTAAATGTCATTTGGTATGACACGACTCAGGGATCGAACCCACGACCTTACGCTCTCCGGGCGGACGCTCTAACCACTACACAAGAAAGGACTCAGATCATGTTTAGTGGGGACTACATCACAATCTTGTCTGCTTAGTCACCATGATGACATCTTCTTGGCCGCACATTCATACGTCTCATGTAATTTTCATGAAAAACATATGAACTTCCTTATTGTCAGAATTGTGATGAATCATTTTTGACATTTTTGTAGAAATTATGTAATTTTTAAGAGTTTAAGCTAAGAATTTTATAATATAAACTCAACTGAAGGTGCTGAATTTAATTTCTGGTTTTATTCATATATTATCATTTAATGTCCAGTTTAATTCTTCTACCTTAAGACATACATTCTGTGTTAAGACATTATTTCTTGGAGAGTGATAATTAAAGCTATTTGGTCTTGTACAGACAGAAAATTGCTTTCAGAAGAATGAAGCTCAACTGTTGAACTGAGGAATTCAATTTGAAAGTTATATTATGAAGGAAGACGAAAAGTAACTACAGTTTCAAATTAAAACAGTTATCTTTGGTAATGGAAGGCCATAGAAGAATCAACACTTTCAGATCAGCAGAGCTCCAAAAGATAAGTTTTGCAAAATCAATAACTTCCATAGATTCCACAGCGCATTGGATTGAAAGAAATGTTTTAATTGAAAATGATGTTTAGAAAGCCATTGTTACTCATGAAAAGGCTGCTAGTTGATAAGTGATACATGGTGTGTGCGATCTTCTTAACATCAGTCTTTGACCTTGAGCCAGGAGCATGACCTCCTCAAACAAAGGTCACCACCTAACAAGTTCACACCAGTCTGTTTTCATGTGTTTGTCTGAGTAGTTCACAGCCCTTGGATGAGGCAGATGGTCTGTAAATCTCCTACTGCCTCAGGATCTGCCAATAGTTTCTGTCAGACCTCTGTGGTCTCGCTGTAGGTCGGTGCATGGTTCAATCCTATGTCACCTCATACCAAAAGAAAATGTTGTACTTGATGATACCTTGCCTTGTGCTCCGTATTGGGGAATTATACCAGGACTGGTCAGTTCGGAGTCCTTGTACTGCATCTGATTGGAGTATTCTTGTTCAACTGCGACATAGTATTTCAATGGGATATCAACAGTAGTTTGTTAACCACATGTTTGTTAAACCACAACCACCCACTCACACACGTCTATTAAACCACACAGACCCACTCACACACGTCTGTTACACCACACCCATCCACTCACATACATGTCTGTTAAACCACACCCACCCACTCACATACATGTCTGTTAAACCATACCCACCCACTCACATACATGTCTGTTAAACCACAGCCACCCACTCACATACATGTCTGTTAAACCACACCCACCCACTCACATACATGTCTGTTAAACCACAACCACCCACATGTCTGTTAAACCACACCCACCCACTCACATACATGTCTGTTAAACCACACCCACCCACTCACATACATGTCTGTTAAACCACACCCACCAACTCACATACATGTCTGTTAAACCACACCCACCCACTCACATGTCTGTTAAACCACAACCACCCACTCACATACATGTCTGTTAAACCACACCCACCCACTCACATACATGTCTGTTAAACCACACCCACCAACTCACATACATGTCTGTTAAACCACACCCACCCACTCACATACATGTCTTTAAATCACACCCACCCACTCACATACAAGTCTGTTAAACCACACCCACCCACTCACATACATGTCTGTTAAACCACACCAACCCACTCACATACATGTCTGTTAAACCACACAGACCCACATGTCTGTTAAACCACACCCACCCACTCACATACATGTCTGTTAAACCACACACACCCACTCACATATGTGTCTGTTAAACCACACCCACCCACTCACACACATGTCTGTTAAACCACACCCACCCACTCACATACACGCACATACGTGTCTGTTAAATCACACACACATGTCTGTTAAACCACAACCACCCACTTACACACGTCTATTAAACCACACAGACCCACTCACATACATGTCTGTTAAACCACACCCACCCACTCACATACGTGTCTGTTAATCACCCACCCACTCACACACGTCTGTTAAACCACACCCACCCACTCACACATATCTGTTAAACCACACCCACCCACTCACACATCTGTTAAACCATACACACACACTCACATACATGTCTGTTAAACCACACCCACCCACTCACATACGTGTCTGTTAAATCACACACTCACACGTCTGTTAAACCAGACCCACCCACTCACACACACACGTCTGTTAAACCACACCCACCCACTCACACACATCTGTTAAACCACACACACACACACACACTCACATACATGTCTGTTAAACCACACACACACACACACACACACACTCACATACATGTCTGTTAAACCACAACCACCCACTCACACACGTCTGTTAAACCACACCCACCCACTCACATACATGTTTATTAAACCACACACGCACCAACTCACATACATGTTTGTTAAACCACACCCACCCACTCACATACGCATACGTATCTGTTAAATCACACACACACACACACACGTCTGTTAAACAACAACACCCCCCCACCCCCACTCAAACACATGCCATCATTATACAATTACAAAAACCTTGAACATGACATTAAACTCCATTTGACCATCTCACTCTAGCAGATCATGCCATGTGGGCGTGTGGTCTCTGAACATACATAATTTTGATAGTAGCAAGCAAACTCATATAAATTGAAAAGGAGCCCCAGGGACACCAGATTCAGAACCTGAGGAAATCTAGTCTTGCTTCATTTAGGGCTTTAGCATTGCAGAGAGGGCTAGGCTGTAGGGAAAATACTGTGGTTCAGGGACTGTGAGACAGACTATTGCTACACTATCAGCCTCTCATTGTCTGGCCAAGATTCAGTTATTTAGAGGCTGACATAACATAGCTTGAATATTGATAACATTTATACTTAAAACATTCACTCAAGTGTTTTGTGAGCGAGTGAGTTTTGTTTAATGGCAGTTTCAATAGCAGTTTTATTGTATGAGACTTGATGTTGGAGGAAAGCCTGAAGCGTTACAACTGTCTTAGATGTTTAGATCGTTACTGCTTTGGTGAAACCCACAAGCCAGGTTTTGGTGCTCACAAACCGAGAAACATAATCAGGGAGGATTTTCAACCCGTGATTACTAGCATCTCTTGTTATTCAATGGACACAACAATTACAGGTAGCTCTGACCTGTTAAGAGATACTGCAGTAATACATTAGATTAGACTAACAACTAGTCTCTGAAATGAACATATTTTACTGAAAAAAGTTCATAATAAAAAAAATAAAATACAATGAAAAGGAGCCCTGAGACTTTCTTCATTTTCAGAAGCTGAGGAAATCTAGACTTGCCACATTTTCTAGACTTGTGTGGGCTTTCTTGGATATATTTGCTTCAGGGTCTGTACAACAGACTAACATTGGATCTGTTTGTACAGAGACAGGACTTAGGTTGACAGTGTTGTAAGTCCAGAGGGCTGTAGTTTGTGTCAAGGCCATGCCATGCCAAGCTACGATATACTGAATATCATCATAAAGATGTGTCTCGTAATTAATGCAGTGTCCTGCCCTGGTCTGAAATGTGTCATGAAATTAAAGTAAGTACACTCGCTTATCTTCCATGAAATCTGCAATATGATATTGGTGTTAGTTGGTTAATTAAATAATATAAGTTGCTGTCTTCACAAACTTTAACCTTGGATTGTTGAACATGGGATCTGACATCCTGAGATAAAAATCAGAAAATGGGGAATGACATTTATATAGGTCAAAGACTAAGACTGAACTTGTTCAAGTACTGTTACACACGATTTGGCACAATATGTTTATAATATACGAGCCGACTTTACCACAGCTAAATTTCTCACATCGTCACGAAGGTGGTTGCGAGTATTTAATTATAAGATTAATTTACAAGGTTAGCGAGGATGTGGACATACAAGATTTGTACTTACATGACTACTTTGTCAATTGTATAAACAACTGACCACTCTTGACATGGAACTTGGTGAGCAGCACTGTCTAAATGTTGGGTTAATTTAGGCGATGGGGTAGCCTAGTGGTAAAAGTGCTGCTCGTCATGAAGACACACGTTAGATTCCCCACATGGGTACTAGGGTTGCGCAATATAACCGGTTTACCGGTATTTACCAGTTCAGACATGAAAACGATACGTATTGCGATACGCTGATCGAAAACCTGTATTTTGACATGCAATCGGAAAACTTCGTAACACTCGGAAATCTTCAGATATTTCCGTTTTTAAATTGTTCCTTTCCTTGTTTCATTTGTGCCAAACATTATTTACATTTTTATTTTGTCATGATTAAAAGTTTTTATTAAAGCCTAATCAAGCATTGTGATTTTGTTGTGTTTTTGCTTTATAAATCAAGCATTAACTCGACTGTAAGTATTTTTTGGTTAAAAAAACCTTCTTGCAATATATTGCAATACATATCGCAATACATGCTTTTAGTTTCTGTCCCTGTGCAGTGAACCTGATGTGACACACACAACTCCAATACGTCCAGATAATAGTCAGTCACTCCCCTAATGTGCGCCCGTTACATTTGCATTTTTTGGATTTATTTCATGGCAATTATTTCACTATTTACAGTACGCTGAAGTCTGCAATAACATACTCTCCTCTGAAACACATTAACAGATTTGAGTGGTCATGAATACAGTCGACATTTGACCAATTTCCCCGACTTCCCAGTCCATCAGCCATGTTGTAAATGTTTCCTCAACCAGATCTCCAGGCTGACTGTGCTGCTTACTCCTGCTGCTGGTGATGTTTGTGGCAGACCAGACGACCAAGGATGACTGAAAGATTGCCGTAGTGATGTGAAAAGAGCATTAATGAAGCAATGTGGCTCTCTGGTTAGACTGTTCAGTGATGGTACACCGATCTTGATGATTCCTGTTGATTGCTGCATGTACTGTTCTACCAGCTGGGAAGGAGGAAAAAAATGTCCATATGATTCCTGTGAACCATGTTTCAAAAATATGTCTAGACAATTACACCCGATGTATTCATGGATCTTGTTGCATTGTAAAGGGCAATGATTGTTTGCGGCATCTTAAACTCAAGTGGAGTTTTGTGTCAGAGTGTCATTTAATGTCACAAAGTCAGTGACGTATCGTCTGTGAATAATGGAGTCTGAACATGACAACCCAGTGGATGATATTATGAGCATCAATCCATGTAGAGTGACTGAGTCTGACAATTTGATGTACTCTCCCTTTACCACCAGCTATAATGGGGATGCCAATTGACTTAAAACTATCTTGGTTGATGGTAATAGATTGATGAAATATTGAAAACTTATACCCGACTCTGATACTGTGAGTACTAATAGTTTCATTGACATAAAACATTTACGAAACATGCATAATCACCACAGCATGTTAATACCATTCACCTATGGTGAAAACATCTTCACACTGTTATGAATGAAAGACAGTAATAGGAGTTACCTCCCTTAAACCTCCACCAGTTTTGTTCCCAGCAATGTGTTTTACCAAGGAGGTGGCAAATATGTTCGGCTTGTAACCATGTCAAATAGAGCCAGGAGATCTGCACTGATGGAGGTCAAGATTAGTAATGTCACGATTCAACGATGCACCGGCGCATCACTGGCAAGCTTTGCACGATGTGATACACGATTCATTTGTTTTAGTATTGATTCATATTTTGACATATATCGTTTATTAACTTATGTAATAATAACAATAATAATATAATAATAATTTTGATGTTGCTCCGATATTTCATCTAAAACATGTTTTGTTATGTCATGTGATTGGCCCACATTTTCCTCATTATGATTGGGTGGTCAAAGATCAATCAGGGATCATGAGACAGATACGGCAGCCATGGAGGTTTCATCAGATCATTGCATGTAACATAGCTAGGCAAGAGTTGGGATTGTAATGGGCCTGGTGGAGACTGACTGACTGACTGACTGAGTTTGGTTTCACGCTTTTAGCAATATTCCAGCAACATCACGAGGGACACCAGAAATGGGCCTGGTGGAGAGGACACCATGACATCAAGCACATGGTGGAGCTTTGTGTTATGAAAGTGCCGAGTCAGCATTTGGATACCTGTTGTATGGTATCTGCTGTATAGTTTCATTGGCTTCCCAGGCTGTGTCAGTTTACCAGATGCTCTTAATACATTCTCCTTGCACAGGAAATATTAACTTCATGAGTGTCATTTCTTCCTTCATTTGCCACTACAGGGCTGCACTGGCCGCTGCGAGGCACAAGCCAGCGATCCCACCATCAAAACACAACAGCCACACTTCTTGTATTTTTTAGTTTTTTCTAGAGAAAATATCTTTTTAGATTAAAAAAGACCCTAACAACTTCAGAGAAATTTGTCTGGTATATTTCTATTTTCTGTTTGGTATAACATTGTCAGTTAAGTTGGTTTACCTTGGAAGGAAAAGTGTAAAATCTGTTTGCTTACTGATTGTACCTGGGGGAGTGTACACCCAAGCTTGGTTTTAATACTTGTACTCCAGCACCTGGGGAGGCGTACACCTAAGCTTGGTTTAATACTTGTACTCCAGCACCTGGGGAGTGTACACCCAAGCTTGGTTAATACTTGTACTGAATGTACCTGGGGGAGTGTACACCCAAGCTTGGTTTTAATACTTGTTCATGTCACATTATTCGTAATTATTGAAACAATGATCAGCTCTGATTACAGCTTCCTGTTGTTCATGAAACTGACTTCTTTTCATAATCTTCTACATTATTTACAGGTCATGACTTTCAACAAACTACAAACAAGAAGTACAGCTGTTTCCATGGTTACGTGTTTGGCAACAGATTATAAAGGTAAAGAAACATGCTATATAAACATGCTATATCAATATCATCTCAATTCAACTTTCTTCACTAGTGATACAAAACAATTGTTGTGAAAGTATTACTGACAAAATAAACTGTACAGGTTATTAAATATCTCATTACCTTAGCAACCATGGAAATATTCAAAAACGGAATCAGTAATCAGGAGATTGGTCAACGAAGACCCTTTAATCAGTAAGCCTGTTTCTATTATACACTATTTACAGGTGCATTATATATAGTAAGCATAACTATCAAACACCTGTAGTAACCCTGTACGTTACACAGAATAAACTGTAATTCATCTAAACATTGTGTTGGTTATTTGTCCAGGACACAGTGGAGACAACACTAGTGTGAGTGAGTGTGTAAGTTTAGTTTTACGCCGCACTCAGCAATATTCCAGCTATATGGCGGCGGTCTGTAAATAATCGAGTCTGGACCAGACAATCCAGTGATCAACAGCATGAGCATCGATCTGCGCAATTGGGAACCGATGACATGTCAACCGAGTCAGCGAGCCTGACCACCCGATCCCGTTAATCGCCTCTTACGACAAGCATAGTCGCCTTTTGTGGCAAGCATGGGTTGCTGAAGGCTCATTCTAACCCGGACCTTCACGGGTTAGACAACACTAGACCTTTCACAGGTTCCAAGCATGACCTATGTCCCTTTGTGACTAGGGGTAATCATACCGTGAATTAGACTTATCTCTTTCTGGAACATGATCTCAGACCTGCATGGTGAAGACCACTCCTCTGGTAATATAAAAATGTGAACATCAGATGAATACACAATGGCTTTTTGAAAGTGTTCAGATGTGACATGTCATACTTGGTATTACATCAGAGATAAACCAGTCACAAACATCTTCCTTAACAGATTCCACTGGTAGCAAAATGGTGGTGAAAATTAAAGCATGTATCACTGAAAGTCAGTGATGACACCAGGTGATTGTTAAAAGGGTAGGTCCATGTCTACTGGTGGCACCCCATGGCCCTGCTGAATGAGTAGACACCAGGTGATTGTTAAAAGGGTAGGTCCATGCCTACTGGTGGCACCCATTGGCCCTGCTGAATGAGTAGACACCAGGTGATTGTTGAAAGGGTAGGACCATGCCTACTGGTGGCACCCAGTGGCCCTGCTGAATGAGTAGACACCAGGTGATTGTTGAAAGGGTAGGACCATGCCTACTGGTGGCACCCAGTGGCCCTGCTGAATGAGTAGACACCAGGTGATTGTTGAAAGGGTAGGTCCATGCCTACTGGTGGCACCCAGTGGCCCTGCTGAATGAGTAGACACCAGGTGATTGTTGAAAGGGTAGGACCATGCCTACTGGTGGCACCCAGTGGCCCTGCTGAATGAGTAGACACCAGGTGATCATTGAAAGGGACACCAGGTGAGGTCCATGCCTACTGGTGGCACCCAGTGGCCCTGCTGAATGAGTAGACACCAGGTGATTGTTGAAAGGGTAGGTCCATGCCTACTGGTGGCACCCAGTGGCCCTGCTGAATGAGTAGACACCAGGTGATTGTTGAAAGGGTAGGACCATGCCTACTGGTGGCACACTTTGGCCCTGCTGAATGAGTAGACACCAGGTGATTGTTGAAAGGGTAGGACCATGCCTACTGGTGGCACCCAGTGGCCCTGCTGAATGAGTAGACACCAGGTGATTGTTGAAAGGGTAGGTCCATGCCTACTGGTGGCACCTTGTGAGTGAGTGAGGCCCCCGTGGATGTTGCTTCTTTCCACCAATGAGTGAGTGGGTGAGCACCTAGTGAGTGAGTGAGTGAGTATGGTTTGACGCCGCTTTTAGCAATATTCCAGCAACATCAGAGTGGAAGACACAAGAAATGGGCTTCACACATTATGCCCATGTGGGGAATAAAACCTGGGCCTTTGGCGTGACGAGTGAACACTTTAATCACTAGGCTACCCCACCGCCCTGAGCACCTAGTGAGTGAGTGACTTAAAAACCGTAGTGTCACCTTCAAAGTATGCAACTTGTTGACATTGAAAGTAGGCCCAACCGGCCTATTACTGTTAGGACAAATATTTCGTACATCTGTAGAATGTAACAGATGAAATTATAAAAGAAAACAAAATAAATATAGCTAGTAACGTGACTTGTCACAGTATTCATATAAATGACTTTATGATTTCACTGACTGGTGACTTGTTTGAATTTATCAATCTTCATGCTTCAAAATAACAGTGGTATTACCTTTCTTGTGTGTTGAAGACACGATTCACTTTATTCTCATATCCCCAAATTACAGTGACTTAGGAAAAATCTATATTCTATTGAAATTTAGAGACTATCCACAGTTATGTTATTTTTGATACGCTTAGTCTTCAAGAAACTGCCACCATGACATATCCATGATGCTGTTTAATAAGGAAACATATTCTTTGAGAAAGGGAAAATTGGTACTACTGGTTTTTACAAACCAGGTCACATACCCCAGAGAAAGGCATGTTGAGTGAGGAAATGAATGTTGCTGCTGTCAGAAATGTTTTAGATGTATGAATGGAGTCTGGTGTAGACAAACCGGTGGTTGAAAATATGAACAACAGTCGATGGATCACAAACTGCAAACTCTTCAGTCAGACCAGCAGATCCTCTTGGGTCAGCATCATTGGATGTTGGTGACCAACTCTTCTGCGGCGTCATCATTCAGGTCAAAGGTGGTAATAATAATACTGTTGGAAAAGTGTATGTACAGTTTCAGGTGACCATTTTGTCCTTGACATTTGACCTTCTCCTTATGAATGGCAAAATCCACAGGGCCACAGGAAATTATCTATTGAAGAATATCTTCTGACGTCATTGGTCTTTGTGTGGTGCCCACAAGGCACCAGCGGCAACGTCAGCAGACACATTATGCTTTAGTAATTAATCGAACATCTCCAATTTATACTGTGATGCATCATCTCACTGCTAATATTAGAATATTAGAATCATTTGTTCTACTGTTGGAAACTGTTCATGAAAGATTAAACATCCTCTATATATGTCCATATATATGAGGAAACATTTTGCAATTTATTCCATCTTATTATATCAACAATTCTTTTATTCATATGAAAACTTGATTTTTAGATATATACAAAACAGACGCAGTAATGGATATGAAAAAAATTGAATTAGTAATATAAAAAGAATGAATTATTAATACAATAATATATATATCACAAAATACATTTTTTTATACAGTATATGATATTTTGATAACCAAAATGTGAAAAGAAAAAAGAGATTTAAAAACTTATATACTACTAAAATGATTTTTCATGACTATAGCTAACTCGTATGTCGTGTCATGGCAGAACAACTTGTCATTTTGTCACCAGTGGTAAGTCACATGTTTGATAAATATATAAGGTCACATGTTTCAAAAAATATTATTTATACCAAAAGTAAAATTATGGTGTAAATAAACATATAACATGGGACAAAAAGTAACATGGCACCAACTGAACGTACAGACGAACATGTGAAAAACATGTCACTTGTAAATTGCCTTGTAATATGTATAGACTATATCTGGGCACAATGAGCCGTACATCACTGTTGTCCAACTGTTAACCTTGTGCAGCTATTGCAAGATAAATACTTATCCTTTTGAAGGTGTCGTTACTCATCCGTGTACAGTGCAGCCCACAAGCCATTGATTGCCTGTGCCCTAGGGCAGAGCTATCTGTGGTGTTATTTGCACGGATTAATGCATGGCGACATAGCCTTCTGAGTGAGTTCACAACAATTCTAGGTGTCACTGAAACAGGGATCTGGTTGGTTGGGGAGCGGGGCTAGCAGCACTTAAGTGGTAGCGTGTCCACAGGTTCACTCTCAGGAATCTTACTACTTCACAGAGGCCCTCAACACATCTTACTACTTTACGGAGGCCCTCAACACATCTTACTACTTTACGGAGGCCTTCAACACATCTTATTACTTTACGGAGGCCTTCAACACATCTTACTACTTTACGGAGGCCTTCAACACATCTTACTACTTCACAGAGGCCCTCAACACATCTTACTACTTTAAGGAGGTCCTCAAGACATCTTACTACTTTACGGAGGCCTTCAACACATCTTATTACTTTAAGGAGGTCCTCAAGACATCTTACTACTTTACGGAGGCCTTCAACACATCTTACTACTTTACGGAGGCCTTCAACACATCTTACTACTTTACGGAGGCCTTCAACACATCTTACTACTTTACAGAGGCCTTCAACACATCTTACTACTTTACGGAGGCCCTCAACACATCTTACTACTTTACAGAGGCCTTCAACACATCTTACTACTTAACGGAGGCCCTCAACACATCTTACTACTTTACGGAGGCCTTCAACACATTTTAGGCTTTCAAATCAGTTCAGTATTTCATTGAATAAACCAACATTAATAATAGAAAACTGGGCCAAAAATACAATCTATAATAAGCATTGCAAGATTTTCCTTATGCTGAAGAAAGTATTGATCTTATTGAAAAAGAAAATAATATAAAAATATTTGCATCATCTTGAGTGTGTTTTATACTTTGACAGAAATTTATGACTGTGTTGTAAAGATCAAAATGATATTTAAATGTGCAGTGAGATTGCAGCAATTAATGGGTATTGGATACCTCTTCTACACCCAAGTCCCCACCCTGAGTGATTCATAGCTAGAGCCACGTCATCATATGAGCGAAATATTCTCAAGCACAACGTTAAACCCTATTTCACCTCACCTCATAGCTAGAGCAAAGCTTACATAATGTATTGTGTGTGCATTTTTACCTCAGTTCTATTGATATTTCAAGCCCAAGCAGGTTTATGAAAAAATTGTGTTTAAAAGTAAAATACAAAATAACCAAAGATTTCACTTTAAGGAATATTTTGAAAATGTTTTTTGTTTCAATTATGTTGGGAGACGTTTAGATAGAAATAGAGTATTTAAAAGACATACAGTGTGACCTTAAATAATGGCCCAAGGGAGACAACTACATTAACATCCGAGCTTGAATATTCTGGTCATGTTAATCGGTCATATTTTTCAAGAGAATGAAGGAAAAAGAGCCATAAATCTTCAGGATTAGTTATCTCAGGAAGATTACAAAACATGATAAAAAATTCACATCACATAAAACAAAAAACAGAACTAGGCCATTACCAGGGCGCTATCTAAGTGCAGAGTGGCACACAAAACCTTACAAAGCCTGGTATATTAATGACTTGCTGGTTGAAAGACCAAGCACCTGCTGGAAGGGCTGACAGATCAAGGCCATTGCTCAAGCTGGTGTACTTCATTAAGGGT